CCAAAATCTAACTATTAACCTCTCATCACCCCGACTCTAACCATTAACCTCCATTTACCCCGACTCTAACCATTAACCTCTCATCATCCAAAATCTAACTATTAACCTCTCATCACCCCGACTCTAACCATTAACCTCCATTTACCCCGACTCTAACCATTAACCTCTCATCATCCAGAATCTAACCATTACCCTCTCATCCCCCCGACTCTAACCATTAACCCCCACTATCCCGACTCTAGCCATTAACCTTTCATCACCCCGACTCTAACTATTAACCTCCAACCACCCCGATTCTAACTATTAACCTCCATCCACCCCGACTCTAACCATTAACCTCTCATCACCTCGACTCTAACCATTAACCTCTCACCACCCCGACTCTAACCATTAACCTCGCTTCACCCAGACTCTAACCAAACATCTTATCACCTCAACTCTAACCATTAACATCCCATCACCCCAACTCCAACTTCTAACCTCACATCGCCCTGACTCTAACCATTAACCTCTCATCACACCGACTCTAACTTTTAACCTCGATCTACTCCGACTCTAACCATTCACCTCTCATCATCCCGACTCTAACCATTAACCTCTCATCACCCCGACTTTAACTATAAACCTCCATTCACCCCGACTCTAACCATTAACCTCTCATCACCCCGACTCTAACCATTAACCTGTCATTACCCCAACTCTAACTATTAACCTCCATTACCCCGACTTTAACCATTAACCTCTCATCACCCCGACTCTAACCATTAACCTGTCATCACCCCAACTCTAACTATTAACCTCCATCTACCCGGACTCTTACCATTAACCTCTCATGTCCCAGACTCTAACCTTTAACCTCGTTTCACCTAGACTCCAACCATTAACCTCGCTTCACCCAGACTCTAACCAAACATCCCATCACCCCAACGCCAACTTCTATCCTCACATCACCCTGATTCTAACCATTAACCTCACATCACCGATATTCTGATCATTAACCTCCCTTCACCCAGACTCTAACCATTAACCTCGCTTCACCCAGACTCTAACCAAAAATCCCATCACCCCAACTCTAACCATTAACATCCTATCACCCCAACTCCAACTTCTAACCTCACATCCCCTTGATTCTAACCATTAACCTCCCTCCACCCAGACTCTAACCATTAACATCCCATCACCCCAACTCCAACTTCTAAACTGTCATCACCCTGACTCTAACCATTAACTTCGCTTCACCCAGACTCTAACTAACCAAACATCTCATCACCCCGACTCTAACTATTAACTTCCATTTACCCAGACTCTTACCATTAACCTCCCATCACACCGACTCTAACCATTAACCTCACATCATCCTGACTCAAACTATTAACCCAATTCTCTCCGATTCTAACCATTACCCTCTCACCACCCTAACTTTGACTTTTAACCGCACATTGTCCTGACACTAACCATTAACCTCCATTCCTGCCGAATTTAACAATTAACCTCATATCACCCTGACTCAAACCATTAACCTCTTATCACCCTGACTATAACCATTAAAGTCCCACCACCCAGACCCTTACCATTAACCTCCAATCACACCGGCTCTAACCATTAACCTCTCATCACCTCAACTCTAACCAATAATCTCCATCCACCCCGACTCGAACCATTAACCCCTCGTCATCCCGATTCTAACTATTAACCTCCATTCACCCAGACTCTAACCATTAACATCCCATCATCCCAACTCCAACTTCTAAACTGTCATCACCCTGACTCTAACCATTAACCTCGCTTCACCCAGACTCTAACCAAACATCTCATCACCCCGACTCGAACAAATTAACCTCCATCCACCCAGACTCTAACCATTAACCTCGCTTCACCCAGACTCTAACCAAACATCTCATCACCTCATCTCTAACCATTATCATCCCATCACCCCAACTCCAACTTCTAACCTCCCGTCAACCTGACTCTAACCATTAACCTCCACTACCCCAACTCTAACCACTAACCTCGCTTCACCCAGACTCTAACCAAACATCTCATCACCCCGACTCTAACCATTAACATCCCATCACCCCTATTCCAATTTCTAACGTCACATCTCCCTGACTCTAACGAAACGTCCCATCACCCCAACTCAAACTTCTAACATCACATCACCCTGACTCTAACCATTCACCTCACATCACCCTGACTCTAACCATTAACATCCCACAACCGATATTTTGACCATTAACCCCCATTCACCCAGACTGTAACCATTAACCTCACATCACCCTGACTCTAACCATTAACCTCCCACCACCAAGACTCTAACAATTAACATCCCATCACCCCAACTCCAACTTCTAACCTCACATCACCCTGACTCTAACCATTAACCTCCCACCACCCAGACCCTAACCATTAACATCCCATCACCCCAACTCCAACTTCTAACCTCACATCACCCTGACTCTAACCATTAACCCCCCACCACCAAGACTCTAACAATTAACATCCTATCACCCCAACTCCAACTTCTAACCTCACATCCCCCTGACTCTAACCATTAACCTCCCCCCACCCAGACCCTAACCATTAACATCCCATCACCCCGACTCTAACCATTAACCTCCCACCACCCAGACCCTAACAATTAACATCCCATCACCCTGACTCTAACCATTAACCCCCCACCACCCAGACCCTAACCATTAACATCCCATCACCCTGACTCTAACCATTAACATCCCACCACCCAGACCCTAACCATTAACATCCCATCACCCTGACTCTAACCATTAACCTCCCACCACCCAGACCCTAACAATTAACATCCCATCACCCTGACTCTAACCATTAACCTCCCACCACCCAGACCCTAACCATTAACATCCCATCACCCCAACTCCAACTTCTAACCTCCCATCAACTTGACTCTAACCATTAACCTCCACTACCCCAACTCTAACCACTAACCTTGCTTCACCCAGACTCTAACAAAACATCTCATCACCCCGATTCTCTTACTATTAACTTCCATTTACCCCGACTCTAACCATGTAACTTTCCTCACGATACCCCTCACACTCTTTCCAAACGACACTGTGTCATATCTACTCACATCGCTGTCTTTTTCTGATATCTTATTTCTTACCTCCACGACCCACCAATCCTTATGCTCATTTTCGTACCAATACCATTATGTCAGTAACTTCACGTATCCTTATGTTCTTCCTCACTCCTCCAATCTCATCCTCTCATGAAATTTCACTTTTCTCCCATCCCAGCTACGTAACCTCTCGTACTCAACCTCTAACACTCTCTCACTCCTTAAGCCCACACATCCACTTCCGCTGTCACTCATGTTTTTGTATTATCATGTTCAAGTTCCTCTCGCACAAAAAAAAAACAATTTCTACTCCAAAACACCGATGATTGTTCTCTGCATGCCTCATATTATGGTAAGAAAGAAAAGCCATTGATAGTTTCTTTACCGAATCACAAGGAAAGAATAAGAGTTCAAAGGACTCGTTAAACAATGTAATCCGCTGAGCATATTTGCAGTCATTTCAGAAAATAAATAAATAAATGAAGGAAAAAACATAAGCAATGCGTTTCTGTAAAAATTAAACCAAAAACGGAACGTAAGCAGATATTAAGAAAGCAGGTAAGTTTTATGTTGTGTCCTTTCCTGTCCAGAAGAGAGTAAACACAGCAGTTATTGCAAGTGATGGCTATTAAAGTCACACCCAAATATGTTTTAATCAAGCGATTACTATACATATCGATATATTTGCTTCAGATATACACATATCAATACACTATAATTGCCCATCATCGATAAATCGTAATATATCACATCTATAATATTGCTTAAATAGAGGTTACACAACGAGTGGTTGTTGAATATGGTATTTATTTCACTCGAGTAAGTTAATTTTCAAAAGTTACAAAAGACACGAGCTTTAGCGAGTGTCTTTCTGTAACTTTTGAAAATTAACTAACGAGAGTGAAATAAATACCATACTCAACAACCACGAGTTGTGTGATCTGTTTCTACCACAATCTCATGAACATACACTCATGTGTTTGTTGACAAGGCTGGCGTAGTGATATGACCCATATGTAAAAAGTCACTCATTAATATTCAAAAATGACTCTTTTTTTTTACAAATTCNTAGCAGTATTGCATTAATTTATATAAATTAACCACGGACTATATGCGCGTAAGCATATCGTACGAAGTCTGCCTCCCGCCAAGTGATGAACCGTTGTAGACGAACTTATCGCTGTCAATATCCAAAACCATAGGCCTACGTTTCTTCGTGACGGTTCTATGGTTGACGTTTATAGTGAAAGTTCAGCCATAGTCAGACCGTCTAAATAGCGATAACGGGACGTTGGGAGAACGAAATATTTCCCGACACTGTGACAGATCTTGTTTTGGTTTCACGACCTGGACACGCGACGGTGTGACGTCGAAACGATATCGAGCGTCTGTAGCAATTTTGCCTGAAACTAGCGGTCAAATCTTTAAGTATCATCTTTTAATATTGCCTTAATAACCCACCCACCCCTTTCCGCATAACCTCACAAAGTCACCAACATTTGTCGGATGTTGACAGCCGACGACGTAAACAAAACAGCAGGTGGCAAAAGCACATGGAAAAAGTCTTCCCGGTCAAAGTTCATCTTCTCGACCAATCAAAACTCTTGTTAGATAAATATGAGTTATATACCACGTGTGGTATATAACTCATATTTATCTAACAGTCTGCGTGTTTATACAATGATCTGAGAGTGGAATAACACAGCGTGTTGTGGTAGAAATATTCCAATCACAATAACAAGTTCTTTATACGCTGCTCAAAAATCTTTATTGATGTGAAAATACAACTTTTGGCATATTCTAGAATTACATGCGTATACTTTTTCTTTTTTAAATAAGAATCCATACATTTTTACCTATTTGGCGAAACAAAGATTTAAGCAATTTGTTTTTATCTTAAATTCAGAATTTCTGAGGCCCCGCTGGCTCCAGTTCCCAAATTCAGCAACGACAAGGCCCCAGTTGCCCCAGAATCGGTATTCAACATCGTAGAAGCCCCAACTACTTCCGACGCTCTGTCCAGTCTGCCTTCCCCGACGTCCTCCGTGTCAGACCGAGAATTCAGATCATCTCGTTTAACATTGCATGGAAGCCCCGGATGTGTATCTGCCGACACTGTCGCTGCCATCCGCGACTTGGCTGGAATCAACATTGCTAAAATAGTTTCTGTGTCCAAATCGAAAACACGAGTAATAAATTACTACTCGGACCAGCCAGAGGATACTCCCCTGCCATATTTCATCTGGTCAGTAGAGACAAACGCCACTGTGGGTAAGTCAGATCTTTCCTATGTTTATTTGAATTTGATTCAAATACCAGTAATGTAATACATTTCTATCATACAATGTTTTTGTTTCATAAATTTACCATCACTGCATCTCATTTTTCTAATCTTGGCATTTCAAGTAAACAGTGACATATACATGCATAAAACGAATTTATATTTTGTAGGAATTGCAATCCGAGGGTCATTTTCTCAAGACACACTCGGCCCAATGTTTAGTAACGCACAATGCACATCAATGGCATATCAGTCGCTTGCATACAAGAAGCTTATGGGACAGCCAGACACCTGGAATTACCGGGACATTGACTCAATTCTTTGCCAGGGGCACCTTCTGCACAGCCACTTTCGGTACGTGATGAAGCTGAGCACGAACAAGGATAACAGAATCGCAATCCACGAGCTTCCATTGTCCTACGACGTCCAGGTGCTACCTCCAACATGCACTCCCGGAAATGGCAGTAGTGACTTAATTCAAAAAGTCCATGTCGTATTCCTGTACGGCATCGACGGAATGTATGCCTACAACAGCCCGGAAATAGCTAAGAATGTGTCCAGCTTTGCTCCTGAATTTCCCATGTTTATCCTGCAGACATTTACAACCGGGAATTCGGAAGATCTAAACATGATTTTGACCATCAATGATTTCACGATGGCAATATGGCGACGAAGAAATGAGGACACGATTTGGTTGTTTGATAGCCACAGGAGAGATGCGACTGGCCTTGGACATGCTTTTCTCACGTGGGGATCGGAATCTTACGACACGGGGGCTGCATTGGCGCGATCCTTTACTGGCGTCAGTGGATTAGTGGGACACATCACGGAAATATACGGGGACAGCTTTTACTACAATGCTAGATTCTACAATCTGGATATGGTAAACCACATGTCTTTTACTTCTCCTGAGAGAAACTTAATTACATAATGCGTTACCTAACACCTTTTAATCAGCGCTTCTTGGTGGTTGTTTTCCTCTTGTTTCTAAACATCGTGTTATTTTTCATATCTGTTCAGATGTATACAGTACGTTGTGAATACTTCTATTTTACTGGCATGTTAGAAGTAGTACGATGTCACAGTAATAACGTACATTCTTACTGTTGAATTAAAAAAAAAAACCTGAAAACAAATAGATAAATAAAAATAAGTAATGAAAAAAAGCAGAGATAACAGTGAGTATCAATTCATACTGTATGTTGTTTTCTGAAGGTTGACTCTGACGGTGTTCCTCCTGCAGCCGGAAATGACGCAGACGGGGTAATGGATGACAGAGTGTCTACGCTAGACGACAGCCTTCCTGTAGCCTCCCTCGACGGTATGTTATATCCTTAATGTTTCAGTAGCAGATACTCAGAACTAATGTTGAGTTGAACGAACGTGACATGTTCGACGTTCTATGTAACTGGCATTGTCTGGTAGTGTCTGTGCCAGAAGGTGAACGATGATCCTCGGTTAGATTTCTGTATGTGTCTTCATTTACCAGGACTAATTATGATGTTCGATTTCAATGGAAGTTTCTTAATTACTCGTCGAATGTGATCTGAAGTCTCAACAAAATGTGTTTAATATTAGAAAAAACTTGACGAACATTACATATGTCGTAAACTAAATATATAACGTTTTCCATCTAAATAATGAAACAACTAGCACAATGTCTTGTTCGGTACATATGACGAATGCAAAAGTAACCAAATAAACTGTTATTTATATATAAAATCATGTACAGTATGGAAGGGTTAGACCGTACTAGAGTCCAATGTGGTCACGTCACTTTGTATGTTACAGAAGAGAAACATCCCCCTTGAAGCAACACGACTTGAGTATCCAGTGGCTACAGAGGATTCCTGCCAAGCACGTCACACAAAGCATACTTGCCGTTAGTACATTGTGGGAAAGGTCTAAAAAGCACGTGACCACAACTAATTAAATTGTAACTATAGTATGTTCCACCACCTTGCTAAAGATGGCAGATGCTTCCTAGAACACCAAGCCATGCACTAACGATGTCACGGTGGTATCTGACGGATGTGTGTACAGCTGACCAACCAAAATGGCACTCAAGGTTATGTAATGGGGCATCGTCAGTTGTCTGTCCGTCCGTAGTCACTTTTCCCTTACAAATCGCTGTCCGGAGCAACTAGGTGGAAATTGTATCAATTTCATTTGGAGCATAGTTGCGCATCGGGGACACATTGGAGTATTGAAGTAGGATTAAGCCTCCCCGGGGACAGTAGGACGGGAACAAACATATACCAGAATTTAGACTAGAACGTTCTTGCGTAAAGGAAATCCAATGATGTAAACGAAGGTTTTAGCTGAGCTCATGTCAAATGGGCGATCCTTAAAAGGGAAATGCAGGCAACGATTTGAGATACCAAATTTGCTTCCCTTAAGACATGTTGGCGGGGTCCAAAAGGAGCTATTAGGCGTCGTTATCTTGTAGGAACGGAGGGTGAGGCTTACCTGGGGACATATCGGCGGGGCCCAATAGGGGCTTTAAGGCGTCGTTATGTTGTATCAACGGAGGAAGTGGCTTCCCTGGGGACATATAGGCGGGGCCAAATAGGGGCTATGAGGCGTCGTTATGTTGTATAAACGGAAGGGGAGGCTTACCTGGGGACATGTCGGCGGGGCCCAATAGGGGTTTTTAGGCGTCGTTATGTTGTATAAATGGAGGGAGTGGCTTCCCTGGGGACATATAGGCGAGGCCCAATAGGTGCTTTAAGGCGTCGCTATGTTGAATTAACGGAGGGAGTAGCTTCCCTGGGGACATAAAGGAGGGACCCAATATGGGCTTTAAGGCGTCGCTATGTTGAATTAACGGAGGGAGTGGCTTCCCTTGGGACATAAAGGTGGGGCCCAATAGAGGCTTTAAGGCGTCGTTATGTTGTATACACGGAGGGAGTGGCTTCCCTAAGGACATATAGGCGTGGCCCAATAGGGGCTTTAAGGCGTCACTATGTTGAATTAACGGAGGGAGTGGCTTCCCTGGGGACATACAGGTGGGGCCCAATAGGGGGCTATAAGGCGTCGTGATGTTGTATAAAATGAGGAGAGGCCTCCCTAGGGACATATATATTGGCGGAGCCCAATGGGGGATATATAGCGTCGTTATGTTGTATAAACGGAGGGAGTGGCTTTCCTGAGGCATATAGGCGGGGCCCAATAGCGGCTTTAAGGCGTCGCTATGTTGAATTAACAGAGGGAGTGGCTTCCCTGGGGACATATAGGCGGGGTCAAATAGAGGAACGTGGGGAGTGGCTTCCCTGGGGACATATATGCGGGGCCCAATAGAGGCTATTAAGCTTCTTGATGTTGTATAAACGGAGGGAGTGGTTTCCATGGGGACGTATAGGCGGGGCCCAATAGGGGCTTTAAGGCGTCGTCGTGTTGTATAAACGGAGAGAGTGGCTTTCCTGGGGACATAAAGGCGGGGCCCAATAGCGGCTTTAAGGCGACGCTATGTTGAATTAACGGAGGGAGTGGCTTTCCTTGGGACATATAGGCGGGGTCCAATAGAGGAACGGAGGGAGTGGCTTCCCTGGGGACATATAGGCGGGGCCCGAAAGGGGGTTATAAGGGCTTTAAGGAGTCGCTATGTTGAACTAACGGAGGGAGAGGCTTTCCTGGAGACATATAGGCGGGGTCAAATAGAGGAACGAAGGGAGTGGCTTCCATGGAGACATATATGCGAGGCCCCAAAGGGGGCTATAAGGGCTTTAAGGCGTCGCTATGTTGAACTAACGGAGGGAGTGGCTTCCCTGGGGACATATAGGCGGGGTCCAATAGAGGAACGGAGGGAGTGGCTTCCCTGGGGACATATAGGCGGGGCCCAAAAGGGGGCTATAAGGGCTTTAAGGCGTCGCTATGTTGAACTAACGGATGGAGTGGCTTCCCTGGGGACATATAGGCGGGGTCCAATAGAGGAACGGAGGGAGTGGCTTCCCTGGGGACATATAGGCGGGGTCAAATAGAGGAACGGAGGGAGTGGCTTCCCTGGGGACATATATTCGGGGCCCAATAGGGGCTTTAAGGCGTCGCTATGTTGAACTAACGGATGGAGTGGCTTCCCTGGGGACATATAGGCGGGGGCCAATAGGGGCTTTAAGGCGTCGCTATGTTGAATTAACGAAGGGAGTGGTTTCCCTTGGGACATATTAGTGGGGCCCAAAAGGAGGCTATTAAGCGTCTTCGTGTTGTATAAACGGAAGGAGTGGCTTCCTTGGGGACATATTGGCGAGGTCTAATAGGGGCTATTAGGCGTCTTTATGTTGTATAAATGGAGGGAGTGGTTTCCATGGGGACATATTGGCGGGGCCCAATAGGGGCTTTAAGGCGTCGCTATGTTTAATTAACGGAGGGAGTGGTTCCCTGGGGACATATAGGCGGGGACCAATAGGGGCTTTAAGGCGTCGCTATGTTGAACTAACGGAGGGAGTGGCTTCCCTGGGGAGATATAGGCGGGGCCTAATAGGGGCTTTAAGGCGTCGCTATGTTGAATTAACGGAGGGAGTGGTTTCTCTTGGGACATGTTGGCGGGCCCCAATAGGGACTTTAAGGCGTCGCTATGTTGAATTAACGGAGGGAGTGGCTTCCCTGGGGAGATATAGGCGGGGCCTAATAGGGGCTTTAAGGCGGCGCTATGTTGAACTAACGGAGGGAGGGGCTTCCCTTCGGGACATTTAAGCGGGGCCCAATACGGCTTTAAGGCGTCGTCATGTTGTATAAACGGAGAGAGTGGCTTCCCGGGGGACATATAGGGGCTTTAGAGCGTCGCTATGTTAAATTAACGGGGGGAGGCTTCCCTGGGGACATATAGGCGGGTTCCAATAGAGGAACGGAGGGAGTGGCTTCCCTGGGGACATATAGGCGGGTTCCAATAGAGGAACGGAGGGAGTGGCTTCCCTTGGGACATATATGCGGGGCCAAAAAGGGGCTTTAAGGCGTCGCTATGTTGAATTATCGGAGGGAGTGGCTTCCCTGGGGACATACAGGCAGGGCCCAATAGGGGGCTATAAGGCGTCGTTATGTTGTATAAACGGAAGAGTGGCTTCCCTAGGGACATATTGGCGGGGCCCAATGGGGGATATTAAGCGTCGTTATGTTGTATAAACGGAGGGAGTGGTATCCATGGGGACATATTAGCGAGGCCAAATAGGGGCTTAACGGAGAGAGTGGCTTACCTCAATCAAAAGTGCTCGAGATCCATGAGGAAAGTAACCTGGTACCGTTCGGCATGTGATTGATGAAACGTCACCATGACGACCACATGTACGTTTTAGCGCGGAGCTAACTCATTCTGTCAACCGGACTCGCATTTTGTTTCTCAGTCTTTTTCTTTACAGAGTCGTTCATTGTATGACCGCTCATTTTCATGTAGCTCACGTTTTATGCTCAGTCTAATGCATGTTGCAAGTCATATGTATTTCAATCTAGATGAATACTCTTAAATGTTTTGGTATGGGTTAACGTCTACAATGATTGATTTGTCTGTACGCAATGTGCTACAATGTATATGTAATATATAATATATAATATAATAATATATATAATGTGTAAAATATAATGATACATGTAATAAAGTATATGATATGTATAATATAATAGTATGAGACATGGAAATCGACTACGCAATTGGTCATTTTTTAAATATTTTTTTAATACATGGAAACTGAATATACAATATCCAAAATGATTGATTCCTTTATTGTTATTTTTTTGTGTTGGTTTTATACTTACGATGATTGATTCGTGTGTATTCAGAGTGTCATATGTATATGTATTACATGGAAATTGACTACACAAGATGGCAGATGATTGATTAATTTTCTTTGATTATTTTTGGCGGGTTTAATGCTTACTGTCGGTGCATAACGTGTCATATATGAAATGCATGGAAATTGAATAATATAATATAACATGCCAATGATTAATTCATTTTCTGTTATTATTTATTTGCGGGTTTAATGCTTACGGTGATTGATTCGTCTTTACGCAAAGTGTCATATGTAAAATGTAAAATATGGGAATTCATTTACATAACAGACTACGACATATACCAAATAATTGGTTATTTTCTGTTCTTAATGAGGCAATGCGGTCGCGCGATCATGAAAAGTCCACGAATATATATAATTGCTGCGACAACAATGGAATCTTAGCGTAAAATACTCCGCGTGAGTATCACAAGCATTGAGAAATCTCAACAGCCGAAAGTTTAACAGTTAAATTTTCTCTGAAGTGGAAAACAGTGTGAAGATAAAAACACAACGATTTGTCGCTTATAAGTGATATAACTGGAGACTTGGGAAGGGAGTCTTGGGGAGAGAACAAGCTAATAAAGTTAGGATGAATTAATACGGAAGCAGTATGTGCCTTAACTCATTCAACACCTTTTGTTTTGAGCATTTTGTTGGTATTGGTTCAAGCGTACTTGTATAGCTGTTGTATCCAGAAACAAGGGTCCATTAACCACCCTGTAATATTAATTTTATTATATGTAGAGATATGTTCACTTCACACTTCACGCTACTGAAAGACTTACTTCCATCTTTGAATCTAAAGCATTTAACATGTTTCCCATTGATTGCCACGCATATTTATTTTTTGGAGCACAATATCTTGTATTATAGAGTTGTAAAACCCAGGCCTAACCTGGTATCCTAGTTAAATATCTCATACCAGGAACTCTTGCTTTAGCCTCATAGTGCCACTATCGACCTAAAGACTACATAAGTAGTATTAGGTTTAGTCTTGTTCGGAAAAGTTCTGAACGTTTTGTTCAATCCTTTGAAATGCGGTCAATATCGACTTGTCTTTCTGCTATGCTCAGCTCTCGCAGTGCACAACCTTCCAGACTATCAAACATTCTTGATTAATACTTTCCATAATTTCGTACTGGAGGAAAATGTTTCATGTACGATCCTATGTTGGGTTTTTGGAATTAAATGGACAAATATATTGTATGCAAATTTGAAGGTACAGATTATTTGAAAATTTAAAGTTTGCCACAACCATCAAGTCAAATGCAATATACATTGGACTCCACTCACTGCCCAACGATTCGTAATCAAGTTTAAAAAAAATACAAATATAGCAGTAGGAAAAATTAGTTTCACAATCTCCCGGACTGGAGATAGTCAAACGATTTTAACAGTGTTAAGATAACGTACACAGAAGTTAAATATCCGCCCCTAGCTGTCGTGGTACACCGAAAAATAACCAGGATTGTGGCGTTACTGATTATAATCAGGCTATCGTTAAATACAAGGGATTGGTATTCACTTTGGTCTTAATCCCTGGGATTTGTCAAAGTAGGGGGTACTTATCTTACATGTATAGAGGACAGACACCGCTACTGTAATACTTAGCCTACTGTGTAAGGTAGGGATATGTACATGTACCGATACAATACACAAATAGGAGAATTTGATATCTAATTATCAAAGGTTATTTTATATGAATACCAGACAGGATTAAACCATTTGGAGTTAAGTGACGAGCTAAGTAGGGATTTATATAACAGAGTGACAACAGGACATGTGAACGTGTCTCTTTGTTTGAAAAATTGTATAGATTGAAAGATAGAGAAAGAAAAAATGGAACAATGACAAAGTTATGGGATTCATGTGTGAATTTCTTAAAAAAAAAAAAGAAACACACAAAAACACACACATGGGACTCAAAGCTACGTTACGTTTGCGTGCCACTTGCGTTTAAACAGACAAGGAAAACGGTCAAAGGTCGCCAAGCGTCAATAACACACTTAGGACAATAACTGATAATTGGGTAAAAGAGACTTGAGTTGAGATTTAACTTTTATTTAACATCTGTAAACCTGGCTTAGAGACTATATTTTAATATCCCTCCCACCTACATACTGTCTCGATAATCCAAACGTGTTTTTTATATCAGCAATGACACCTGTCTATAAAGACCATATATGTAGTATATAGGTTGGCCCGTGGTAGGAGGCCTTTAATTTATTGACAGGTGGTATTGTAGTGTTATCACAGATTTTTTTTTTAAATTACGCAATTGTAATTCGATATCGTACATCATCATACCAAAAACCTGCTAATTTTTCCAGACGTCACAATATAATATGCGATTTATTCATCAGTGAAACCAGAAACATGAAGATGTAGTGGTGTTGATTCACTGAATTCCATTAACGATTGTAATTAGTGCGAGATAAGCATTTTACCTGAAGTTAATTAACAACTTACCTTTCATTTCCGTTATATATAACGGCGACATTGATTTGAGGAAACGACACCCATACTGTGGCCAATTTATAGTGGAACTATCGATTTCGCTTCATACATTTACCGTGTCACTCACAGTGCACAGTTATAGGTATTTAATCCTATAATCATGACTTTATGACAACACTGTTTTGATAGGTACGTTATTTGATATACAAGTAAATGTTTAATTGTAACTTTGTGAACATTAACTCCTCAGTTCTTTCACTCCCACGCAGCTGGCTTTTAATAACTACTAATGAAATCGATAGTTTTGATGTACATATATATTATAACGCTTTTCTGTCTTGGAATTATCATTGTTATGTACAGTAGCGTAAATTTAACATTTTAAGTTTTGACTGTTCTTACTGCAAACCTATCAATAAAACTGCCTCTTAAGACGTTATCGTGGAAATCATTAAATAGTCTGAGTACATTATTAGAAAAAAATAATTACTGGCTCAAAAATGTGTAAAATGTGTAATTTTCATTTGCATTTCACGGCCTATCTGATATGTATATCGGTCATAGTATGTTAATATCAATATTAATCCTGTGGTGTTTGTTTAGGTGACAGCGGCTTACATACGCACACATCATTTATCATTAACTTATACCGAAATTTGACAACTACAAAATCACGTGACAAGTCCACAGTTTACATTGATGTATATAC